TCACATAGGTATCTAATGATTTTTAATATTATTAATTATTAATTATTTGTAGGTAAGAATATGAAAACATAATTGTCTTTACAAGTTAATGATATATTCTTATAATCTGTAACCATAATCATTACAGTATMACTTAATACATGTATATAGTTAAAATGTATTGTATTATTTTATATCATCGATTATATGATATTATATGGTTGCTAGGAGACCATTTTTACTAGCCTATACAACGAAATGGTCAGAAAGTAAATCATGATAGTGAAGTAAAATAAAGTAACTACTTCAAATTTTAATCGACTTCCGAAAGTTGTATTTAAATATTAATGAAAAATAAATTAACTGTTTTTATAAACTGTGTTAATAATATTATTATAGGCGTACCGATAATTTAAAATGCAAGATCCTAAAATCAAGCCAAAGAAGATGATAAACATTGAAGCTGACTGCATTAAAGCGGTGAACACTTATATGCAAGTTAAAGCTGAGTCAAAAAATTTTATCAAGTTAGTCAATAAAAATTTTCACTTATAAATTATAATACGTTTATAACAACAACTACTGAAAATATATTTAAAATCAGGGTACGATATGACCTATAAAAAGTCTTCCTTCGTAACAAAAAAATCAAAACCTTTGCCTATTTCATGAGGCGTGAGAGTTTATCCTGTGATATATGATATTTTACTAAAAACGCATCAACTACGAGCCYCTTAACTTGAATGTGTTGATTTTTTAAGACGTTGTACATTTTTTTTCAAACTAGTGATTATTTTTATCAAACATGTAACCGCCAAACAGCAGTTTTACGTGAATTGGTGTGTAAATTACGAGTATAAAATAATTTGAAATAAGTATACTGAACATATATAGTAAGTCTAAGTCTAAATAGCTTAAAATTTTTTTAAATTAATTTAATAGTTATATGTGACTAGAGAAGTATACTTCTTAAAGTTATTTTCAGCTTTAAGCATATGATGTAATCATGTAAATGGTTTAATAATAATTTAATTAATAATGAAAAATTACTGTATAATAATATAGTGTGTTGAAATATCATAGGAAATTTCCAGAGTGGGATACATTACCGAAAACGCTTGACAACGAACTAATAATAGCTATTCGAGAGCGAGACTCCGCAAAAACCCGCCTGAAAATCAAGCGAAAAGAAAAAAAAGCGTTTGACAGGGAGATGGAGGAAAAGTGGAAAGATCTTGAGCAGAAACTTAAAGAACTGCGAGAAGATGAGTTAAGACACGAACAGTTTTCTTTGGTATGATGAAACTAAATTGTGTGTTTAATATAAAATTATATGCTAATATCAAAGAATAATTTTATATTTCACGTGTACCTAATTAATGAATGTATTAATAATTTAATCGGTATGATAACTAATGAATGATAAGTAAAAAAATACACACCACACTCTTGCTCACGATTATTCAAAAGTCGTATGCCGTTGTTATAAGTAATTAATAGTTAATACCTACATAGGAAAACGAATTGAAATGCGAAATACTCACGAGGAAGACAAACGAAGACGACGAAGAAACAAAACGCTATGAACAGCAAACCGTACCGATGCAGCAGTCAATATTAAAGCTTGAAGAAGCTGCCGAAGGGATGCAACATAGCGTGGATGAGTTGAAGCCATTTGAAGTAAATAAACTAAATATAAATTAAATTTCATATATCTTTATAACTTTGAGTACCTATTTCGTTGTTGATTTATGGGTGCACAAAAATCGAGTTCAAATGTATATAAACACGCTTGGTCCTCGAGCCTAATAATATTATGTAGAGCCACAACTTTATTGTAGTCTGTAGGTATATACCTATACTTACATTTTTTTAATTTTATTTTTTAGGATTTTCTCGAAAAAGTAGTGGAGGAGTCGAAAGAGTTTAGAAACATAGATGAAGTTATAAAGAGATATGAAAACTTGACCAATATACGGAAGGAGTTGGCGCAAAAACACGAAAAGAAGACTGCGGATTTGAAACGATTGACAATGGACATTTTTAGACGTTCAAAGGTATAAGGTATAACCAGTGCTTGATTTTTTTAAAAAAAAAAGGAAACTTATAATAATCTATACATGCATAATTTATTACCAAGTACAACACATCATACTAACACATATTAACGGCATACATTGATACAATTCTTATATATACAAATAAACATAAATATTGTTTTTTCCTACAATATTATATTATTAAATTTACTGCAGGAAACAAGCGAAGAGGCTGAACACGTGTCTGTCGAAATGGCTGATGTCGTGGAATCGTTGGGAAAACTAAAAGACGAGATGATCAAGACCGACYTGGCTTATCGCAAGATTGAAAACGTGGCCAAAGAAAAGAAAATCGAGGGTGATTTGGTAATCAATATGAATATTTAAAATCGTTTTAAAATAATATGATATCTAATATATCCGCTAGGTGCGAATTTTATCGGTATCGCMATGAGTGTTGAGTGTTTATGTTATGTTACAGGTGGCCGCATCTGTGTGGAATATCTACAAGCAAATGTGTCGGCGTGTAAAAAAATCTGTGCCCAACAAAATACCGGACATACAAACTCAATTGGCATTCATTGCCGAAGAATACCAACAGTTGACCAAAGTATTGAACATGGCTGAGAAAATCAAAGAAAAAACCAACAAAAGGGAGATTCAGAGAAACTGATATATTTGCGATTAATAAATGATGTATTATGTAAATGTTATACAGCAAATGATGAATATTATTTATTAAATATTTTATACTCTACGATTGGTATGGTCTAACAGCAGGCTGGTTACAACACAAATGCGCAATTTTTCTTTTTTTGACCCGACTAATTATACCACGATTGCTCAAAAAATGTGTAATATGATTGCGCCCCGATCCTTTTTAACCTGTTAAAATCACATCACCATTGCGCACCAAATGATATGTGTATATATTAAATAATATAGTACCATAGTATATGCTATGTAGTATGTATAATAATTTATGTGGAACATAAAATAATTAATCAATTTAATTAAAAATAAATAATTAATTTCCAATTTTCCTTATGTATTATAAATTATATTAAAGTCAATGCCCAATATTATTAACTATCATTAGCTCAATCAACTTTTCATTTCAATTTTGAAAAAAGTACACATAACACTGTTAAAGAAATTTTCCTRAACTGCAGAATTCTGGCATGTATGGTTTCATTTAAATCAAGCTTGGTTTAGACATATTCAAAAAGATAGTCATCTACTAAATCTAAATGAATATAAATGAATTTCGGAATTGGGTGTTTGGCTAAAAAAAATTTTTGCTTCAGGATTTTTACCAACCAATTTAGTAGAGAATGCTTTTTTATATTTAATTGAAAATGCTCCTATGTCTAATTTTGGATTTACCGATTATTTACTTAAAAACTATATAGAAACCGATGCACAATTTCCACCAACTTTATGGGTAGATAACCCATCCAAAGAAGCTAGAACAACTAATGGTCCAGAATCTTTTCATATGCACTATAATTCGAAGTTTTACACCTCGCATTCATCTATACTTTCCAAGTAATAAACATATTATAAGGTATTCAAATAGAAACCTATTTAAAAATAAATAGTATTAAACGTAATGAAAATAATAAACTACGAAAAGAGCAACAAAACAATATTAAATTTATAATGGATACTTGGGAAAAATTTAAAAATAACAAAATATCAATGAATGACTATTTGCAATCAATGGGACCACGTTTTTGTTCTAGTCACCAAATGTMATTTTTAAAATCTTATTATTATTATTATTATACTCTTATTATTAAATTTATAACGGATTATTTTTATATGAACAAAAAAAATATTGACTATGTCTGTATATACATTTAGCATACGTTATGTAATTTAGGAAAAACAATTTTTAACCAAGCCAACGATGATAATTTGTTGACAGTCCTAAGCCTGCAATAATTGGGAAGGAAAAATTGTGAATTATTTATTTATTTTTAATTTGATTGATTATATAATGTTTTACATGAATTATTATACATAACATATATTATACTATGGTAGTATGGTATATAGTATATATGGTACTATATTATTTAATATATATACATATCATTTGTTGCGCAATGGTGTTGTGATTTTAACAGGTAAAAAAGGATCGGTGCGCAATCGTGTTACAAATCGGGCGATTGTAAACTCTCCCGATGGTAAAATCTCCCAATGGTAAACTCTCCCGGGTCTACTCCAGTTATACTAGTAGTACTACCTAACGGAAACGTGTAAACTCTCCCGGGTCTATTCCTGTACTACCTAACGGAAATATGTAAACTCTCCCGGGTCTATTCCTGTACTACCTGATGGAAACATGTAAACTCTTCCAGGTCTAATAAAAATCTTAAAATAAATTTAATATACATTTAAGTTGCGTTTAAAAATAGTCAACCATTTATAATAACAATATAAATTAATATCTTTAGCTGCTATGAGCTATAATATAGTCAAAATACAATAAAAAATAAAATTTCAAAAATCTAATATACATTTAAGTTTCTTTTAAAAACAGTCAATAATAATAATAATAATAATAATAATGATATATAAGTTACAAATACAAAATATACGTAAAAATATTAAAATCATTGTTTTTGATAATAAGAACATACAGATTTTAAAAAAATTAGGGAATCTATTTTTTTTTTCTAAAAAAAATGTTTTAACATTTAAAACAACTCGGAAGAGTTTACATACTTCCTACAGGTAAATATAAAGTTAACCAGGGAAAGTTTACACATTTACTTTAGGTAAACATAATTTTGACCCGGGAGAGCTTACACATTTACTTCAGGTAAACATAATATTATTAACACGGGACTATGGGAGAGTTTACCATCGGGAGAGTTTACCACCCTACAAATCTTTTGCGCAATCGTGGTGTAATTAGTCGGGTCAAAAAAAGAAAATTGCGCAATCGTAATATAATATAATATATCAATTATAACTATACAAGAGAGTGTTGTTGGAACACTACAATTTTCGTATTATTATTATAATATTATATAACACTTTTTAGTTGTTGTTCAGCCAAAACATGTATATTATTAAGTATTAATAATAATATATGTTAATATATTAATGTTAGTTTATAATACGAGTATATTATATACTATAGTGTGTATGAACATGATTCTTGATGGTTTCTCATGCTCGTGGATAAAAAAATATTTTAATTTAAAGTGCATGTACATATGCGCGCAAATGCATTTAAAACGTTGTAGGTATAATAATTGAATAAATAACGTTATCTTACATGCCAATATTTTATTAGGCTTCAATAGATTTGTGAATATATATACAATATATGAAATCGGTTTAGTGACAATTACTACAAATCAACTGCAGAATGGTTGAATAGTGGTTAAATTTTTTTGATTATTATTTAGACCAGTAGTGATACAATTTTTCATTTTGGTCCTATGGTAATTTTTTCTTATGGCGTACATATATGATTTGTCCGAAAATAGAACTGAATAAATTCTGTAATTATATACATTTTAGTATAAGTAAGATGACAATTTATCAATTTTAGTTTAGGTTTTATAGATTGTCACACCTTCTGCAACGAGAGATTTCTTGAACAATTTTTTTAAGATATAGATATGTTTTTGGACTGGAATACTGGATTTATATTTTTTGTTTCTGACCGATTTTGTGTAAAGTTTTGTTGTTATAGTTACTTATTAGTTATTAACAAAAACATATTTATGATTTATAAGTTTTTCTCGATAAAAAATATCAAGTAGTGGTATACGAATTAGTTGTTTTATAATACATCATATACGTGAATTATTCAATTTTCATGATATTTTTTGAAAAATCTTATACAAAAAATAGACTTGAAATTGCACTCTTCTTATGAAAGAAAGGCCTATAGTCTATACATAAATATGTCGAGACAAATTACCTTTATTTTAAAAATTTACAATAAAGCTGATATAAAATTGGATATAATATCATATTATTAGACGCAGGAGGAAGAGAATAATTACTTTTTAACCTTTATTATCACTTTATCAGTACAACAAATGTATATAATATATATATGTTATATAACAATAGTCAATAGGAATAATTATATTTACATACAACATAATATGAAAAACATTTTCAATTTTTATATTTTGTTACAATTAATACAATTATTTTTATTTACAATATACAATATTCAATATTATAGGTAAAAAGGCACATAGTGCTATACTTAAGTAAAATATAATTTAAAATTCTAACTATATGTATGTGTATTATAGTAAATAGATAGATATACTTTAAATTTTAACTATAGTACTATACTATTATTTATTATCGTTTGCATTATAAATATATGTATATGTAATATGTTTACTATTGCAGATTAGACTGAGTATAAAACTATTAAAATATTAAAATAGAACGATAATATACATTTTACACAATAATTGCAAAAATAAATAATACTTTATATATAATGTTTTAAATGCATTTTAATAATTGAAAATTTGAAAATAATTATAGAATAATTCAAACAGCTAGGTTATTAATTCGYAATAGATGGTTGGCATCACTCGTCAGTCACTACAACGTGTCCTGTATCCTGTTAAGCATTGGCCTGCGTCGCTACTCGCTAATCCCCAGATAATGACTATTTGGGTTTTAGTGACAAATCCTCGCTCCACATACACGTATACCTCAACCAATCGTAACGTCCTATAGAATGCTAATGGTCTTATAGTGATCAATGATTAAGTTCATTAATAAATAAAAAAAAAGAAAAATTTGCAATAAAAATAATAAAAATTTAACTGTCCATGTTCATATTATTTTTACAAATCGTATTAAATTGTTATTTATCTAAAAAAATGAACACATATATTACACCTGAATACCTGATACCTGCAAGTACTTATTAATGGTTATCTCCGATGTCATAATTCGATTTAGTTATAATAACTTATGTCTTATCATTATATTGGCTCCAAATTGTTCATGCTTTTAACAACATCTGACACCTTTGTTTCAATCAAATCTACATAAAAAGTCATGTTATACACGTTCGCCCGAATGTCGTCTCCTGAAATATATTTAGTACATAATATGTAAATTAATAAATTATAAACGGTTGATACTATTTTTGTTTTAAAAACATTAACCAGATTTATAAGGTAGACAAGATTCAAATTCACATTTCTGAAAATGTCTTTCATTTAAATGTAATATAATTATTATTTATACCTTTCAACACATAATTCCTATTAGATTTATATTCAACATGTGTATAAAGATGAAACTACTGACTTCGTTGATGCACTATCTATATTATATAGGTAGGTATTTAAGAAAACTAATTAAATGTAATTTTTGTTTCTAGTATTATTTATTTTTATAAGACATAGTATAATATATAATTTTTAATGTTTAGCGCTTAGTATAACAAACAATAAATATATGTGAAGACAGGCAGAATCTATGGTTTGCCTGAATAAGATGTCGCCTTCTTGTAAATATTTGTCTGAAGGGTGAATGAGAAAAAAACAGTGGAGAAAATATTAAAAAGGAGAGAGGATAGAACTAGAAGAAAAGAAAATTGAACAAATAAATTCAAGAGATCTCTGCATCACCTCTGTTTCAAATGACTTGACGGTGAGAATTATCGGGAAACGTTAAGGTATTTAAGTTACTAGTTAATAGGTTTATTTCTGGTNAATTAATTTAATAGTTATATGTGACTAGAGAAGTATACTTCTTAAAGTTATTTTCAGCTTTAAGCATATGATGTAATCATGTAAATGGTTTAATAATAATTTAATTAATAATGAAAAATTACTGTATAATAATATAGTGTGTTGAAATATCATAGGAAATTTCCAGAGTGGGATACATTACCGAAAACGCTTGACAACGAACTAATAA